TGTGTGTGTGTGTGTGTGTGTGTGTGTGTGTTTGCTAGAGTGTGTCAGTGTGTTGCTGATTGACTCAGCTGCCGACGATCACAATCACAACAATAGATTTGGCGGAACAGGTTTCCATTTAGACATGCAGTGGCAAACATGCTACAGCTGTGAACGTCAGTCAATTAGGTAAATACAAAAATAACATCTGGCTTTAAACAGAAGCAGTGAAGCGTAGTTGATGATGGGCCCTGCTGTATGTGTTTATGCGCAGGCTGTATAGGAGTCTTACTTTCATCTCTATAATGGTCTGCAGGGCCTTAGTTTTACTTGGGTCCTGATGCAGTTGATTTCTTCTGTGCAGTTCCTTAAAAAAAAGACAACAATTTGTAGCAGCGGTACAGCAAAACCGATCGTGGTCTCCAATGAATAGCTAGATTATTAAAATTTCAAAAGCTCACCTCACAATGCATAAAAGCTTTATGCTTACACATGCAAAATATTTCATGCAACTGCTCTTCAGTTCTTTTACTTCATACATTACATAATTGTTATGATGCAGGGATAAGCAGCAGAGAAGAGAATATTGATTTTGTGACATGCTGCACTGCCATCTAGTGACAACAAAACAAAAGAACAGTTTTGTTTTTTTTTACACTAAAGCAGTGAATGCAATGACTTAACATCATCATCTTAACCCTCGACATATACTACCTCTCGCAAATGGATGTTTTCCTTCTCCTTTTGATCCAGAATGACCTCCAGGTGTCCCAGTTGCGCCTCTGCTTCTGCAATGCGCCGAGCTCGTTCTTGCTCCTCCTCCTCGGTCGCCCTGCCCGGGCCCGGGGGCAGCCCTTTGCTCTGTAGCATCTCAAGCAACTTCTTAATTGACTCATCTCTGGCACCCAGGGTTTGTTTCTGGGTCTCAATCCTCAGTTCCATCTCCTCTAGGGTCTTTCTCAGCAGGAAGAGCTCCTTGGCCTGTCTGTCATGTTCAGCCTGCAGCCGTCGGAAGTTCTCCTCTGTCAGCTCAATGGTGGTGAAATGCTCAGACCCAGAGCGGTTACCGCTCTCCTGCTGCAGCAGGTGGTTGAGGTCTCGCTGTGTGCGCAATTCATCCTGCAGAGCTTGGATGGTCATCTGAAGATGCTACAAACACACACACATATACAAACACACACAGAGGCTTACCAATTATTGAAACTATTTTTAGGTATAGCTCATAACCGAACATTACGTAATAACACTACACATGGGGATGAACAAACAATCCCACAGCAGGTCGATCATGGGGAACACATGACTTACCTTGGCACGCTTTTAGATTTTAGGTTTATTTGTTGAAAAAGTGTGAAGCACGGATCTAATTTAAGTCCTGACTGCATAGATTTACAGTTGTTGGAGAAAATATCTTTAAAAAGAATTCACAGCTTCCAAATATAAATTTATTAGTCTGTAAAGGGCTTTGTTATACACAGAAACACCCTGGTGCTCTCACAGGTCTGACTTTCACTCTGAGAAAGCAGGGACCAAGTGCATGTACAATAACATGCACATTCAACTTTATGTAAACTGGTACGTATAAGTGAAGAAAGTGTGCAGATGAACTAAAAAAACAACAACTGAACACCCTGAAATTTAATTCTAAATCTAAATGATCATAATCATCTGTATTCATCAAACATAAAGTGAAATATTCCAAGCCTTTTTTGTTTTAAATTTGATTATTATCCCCTCCGTGAATCGCTACCTTATCGTGGTGGAGGGGTTTGTGTGTCCCAGGGATCCCAGGGGCTATGTTGTC